CCTACAACTACTTGCTCAAAGAGCTGTAGCTTTGTGGGGAACCCCAAACCCTGAACCCTAATCCCAAGCCCTAAACCCAAGACCCCAGGATCGGTCCCACGGACTTAGAGCTCAGGGTTTGGGGCCTCATCATCGACTCACCCGATTCATACCCTCCCCAACCCCATCGCCCCGCTAAGAGGGACTATAACAACTAGGGACCCAAAGACCCAAAGATATTAAGGCCTTTCAAGACAAGGGTGTTGTCCTTCAGGGGTATACTTTTGTTTGTTTCAGCATCCACAACTCGGACAAGCCTGGGGAGCTTAGTGGGTGCGACGACATTTTGCTTCAAGGCTTGCATTGTAGGGTTTTGGGTTTAGGGTTTAGATAGGTGGGTTTCGGGTCGAAGGCACTGAGGCGGTACACACTGATCCGCCTGACCTTGGTTTGCGGAGATTGCTCCTCGAACCTGTCCGTGAAAAGTCCTGAAACCCTCAAACAAGAAACCTTGAATTCATAAACCTGTAACATTGAACTTTAAAGCCTTTACCAAGCCTCGAACCCGCAACCGCAACCCTGCCTCAGCCGACAAGGCCAGTTTTCCTGAAAGGTGCAGCTAAAAGTCCCGAACATCCTCAGACCCAAAAGGCATCAGAACCTTAAACCCTAAACCCCTGTAACACCCTAAACCCTCACCCCAAACCCCTACAACACCCTAAGCCCTCAACCTAAACCCCTACAACACCAGCAATACACGAGCCACAATCTGCGACTGACGTCCCGGGACACCTGGTGCATTGAGAATGCAACCTTCTCTTCATGCGCCTCCAACTGGATGTCGTAATCCGGGTTTTCCCGGAATAACGGCACTATATCCTCGGGACGCAATTGTGCCTCTATCAATCGAGCAATCTCCTGTGTCGGTGGCGATGCCATGCTTGCCAGAGCATTCTGCCGTGGCATCTCCTGAGAGGGAGGGCTAAAGTCTCTGAGCATCTCGCTGCGCCTCCCTCAACCTAAACCCCTTTAACACCCTAAGCCTTCAACCTAAACCCCGGTAACGCCCGAAGCCCTCAACCAGACGCAACCCTGAAACCTAAAGCCTCAAAAACCCTAAACCCTGAACCTGACACAAAGTTGACCGTCGTCCGTGGAGCGGACGGCGCCGAAGGAAACGCCCGTCAGGCCCACCCAGAGCGATTGCTGCACCTGGACGGTAGAGGGCTTAAAGCCGGGGCCTTCCTTCGAAGGTGTAGGGGTACATATATATATATATATATATACTACAATATTCATGCGGAGACTGCAAAGGGGTATTACCCCTTTCGGCTTAGCTTCGTTGGGGTTTGGGGCTTTTCTTCGGTTGCTGTACTCAAGTCGCTACAGGAGGAACCGTACAGCGCTGTTTGCACAGTCACCCGCATCATTCCGAATTGCAGTTTGGAGTTGCACCTTAGAATTGAACTCAAAACCCTATTGACCCTGAATCGCTCAATCCCAACTTCCGCGTCGCTGGGGAGGTAGATGTTGAAGACTTGTGCAAAGCTCAGAGGCTATTTCGAGGCAGAGGCAGAGGAATGGCCCAGAAAGGCTCTTCCAGTCTTGACAGCGTATTCTGTGCACCTCCAGTATTTTTAAAGAGGGTAGCTATGAGCTGATCGGATCAACAATAAAATAACCTTTTGCACCATTCTGCCACTTTCCCCTCCAAGGGCCATGCTGCTAGGTCTCCACCGATGGCGGCGCTGAAGCCGCCTAGAGTGTTCAGGAAGTCGGATCGGATCCAAACGCCACAAGCCCAGAGACTCCAATATCCCTTTATTAAGGAATATACCTTAAATTATAGTGGGATCCCTTATATGATTTTTTAAGGTATATTCCTTAATTCGGGGATATTGGAGTCTCCGGGAGTTGGTGTATGGCTCGGCTCCGAAGGACTCTAAAATGAGGCATTGGGGTTTAGGGTGCAGCCTAGGATAGTGGTCATATAGGTCACTACTCCAAGTTGGGCCTGAGACTTGTTGAAAGGGCGAGGCTTCAGAGGGATGAAAGACGAACTGGGTGAGAAGTCGTTGAGCCAGTGACATACTATGGGGGTCGAACGGATCCCACCCTGATCCCTTCACACCGACCCTGTGAAACTCATGAGGTTCAGCCTGCCGTTTCTTGCCGCTGCGGGTCCAAGTGCCCAAACTGTGAGCGCTAGATACCAACAGACATACAGTTGCAGGGGCCCAAAACTAAAACCCTGCTATCTGGGTACCTGGACCGTCCTGGCGAGCCTCTCGATCTGCCATACGGGCCCTGCCAAGACGACTTTAGCTTTCCGATATTGTATACTTCTAGCATGCAAGCCCCTAAACCCCTAAAACCTAAGCCCTTGCAGTACATAGTTTCGGAGAGCTTTTCTCTTCATTACTCCGGCCCCTCGATCTCTGCCCCCCCATGCCTCCGTGAAAGGCCATGAGGAGCTGGAAGATGCCAAAAGCCAAAGGGATGATGGTCATCAGCGTCAGCGAGCCCTCGATTCGTAGGGTATGTAGTTCCTTTTCGGGTTTACCTCAATGGGATTCTATGTCTGAACCCCAAAAAGGAACTACTATGGAGCCTCAACTGTCTGGTGCTTAGGACGGAATTGGGGAATGGATCCCTATAGTAGTCCCTATATAATCCCCAATAATAGTCTCCATAATCCATGGCTGTCTGGTGCTTCGTAGGGAAAGGGAATAGATTATGGAGACTATTTATTGGGCATTTTTTATAGGAACTACTATAGGGATCCATTCCCCCATTTCCTCCTAAGCACCAGGCAGTTAGGCTTGAGGCTCTGCCAGCTTTCGGGTTTAGGGTGCCGGGTTTAGGGTTCAGGGTTTAGTAGAGGGCGGCAAAGCAGGAGGCGTGTAAGTAGGCGGCAAGAACGAAGTCTAAACAGGTTCAGGTCAATGTTGAGTTAGGATGAAGCCGGTGAAATTGGCCGGTCTAGGCTTGGGGAGTCCCAGGTTAAGGCTCGAGTGACTCGAGTTGCTGTCTGAAGCCAAGATCCGATGTCACCAAAGTCTGGCATGCCAAAGACAGTCTCACGGATGAGTAAAACTGCATGGGCATGAAAAGCTGTGCTATCTTCCGTGCATCGACTGAACCCTCGCAACAGTGCAAGACGGACTCATTAACATAGGGGCCTTAAATATTACCTATACTATTCTGGGGTTCCGTAGTATAAGTCTAGTATAATGGGCCCCAAAACCCCTGTTGTAACTGCCAAGGCCCCTATATTACACCACAATCACTTCGAGCCGGAGGAGGCGACAGCACTTGACTACCCAGACCCCCGGGAGGATCTAGAAAGTAGATCCCCTATTTGGGGCCCTATACTACTAACGGTACTTTAGAGGGGATCTACTTTTTTGGATCCTCCCGGGATCTGACTACACGCCTCATCTTTGATTTTCACAGGATGACCCAGCTTCCGTGACTCACTCCACACATCCTGCAAAAGCCAAAAAGCAAACCAGTAATGTCGTAAGCCGAATAAGAACTTTCAGCATGAGGACCAGTGCAAAACAGAAAACTACAGTCCTGCAACCAGAGAATACCAGAGTAACGCAAACCCACAATTAGCGCGGCCAGCGGAGCCAACTACATAACTCCTGGTCACCTTGCTTAAGTTCCGATGTGCTGCTACGGGTATGCGGCCAGCATGATGTAACCTCCATCACGGCCCCACCATGGATTACGTCCCACCACAGCACACGGCCGCTTCTCAAAATGACTGCTAAGGGCCCAGGCATGGATCAGGAAGGATGCGCAGGCCCACAAGAACAACATGTACATGAAACCGGCGATAATTGCCTCAAGCGACACAGGTGGTTGAAGTCTCTGCTCAAATTTTAGCTGATGCAAACCAACTGGGCTAGCCAGCACTCATACATCTAACAATCTCCATACGCTGCTCATCCGGAGTTACACTTCGAGAAAGTTCTCTTCTCAGCTAAGAAAAATGGCAAGTTGAAGAACGATGCATTAATCATGTGTAATCTTGGGTCCTCGAAGAGCCTTAATTGAACCCCAACGCCGCAAACTAGATTCGACGACTCTCGTTCAACAAAGCAAAACGTCGGAGGCCTCCCTCTAACTCACGAGCAATGCCTGGATGGGTTCGTCTCTCGCAGACCCTTGATTAATGACCCCTTCTTCTTTCCGGGCCGATCTCGCAGAAGTTAATGTTGATGTTAAGGATTGGAATGCAACCAGCAGTTTCCGCGTGATGCGTACTGCACGCTGCTCGCTTCGGCTGAGATTATGCTCGCTCGAGGGGTCTGTGTCTTGTTGTGCCCGGGTGGCTCCCGGAGGGGTGGCTCGAAGAGCCTGCTGGTTTCAGGAGGCTGACGGAAACGTCATACTAGAATGTAGATTAAAGACATTGAACATGACATAGTCTAATATTTACTATACTCTTACTACACTTTACCATACTACCCTATACAATGTAAGTTGTGGGGATTTGGGCACAGCGTTGGGTTTTCCACGAGGAGCTTTGCTGGGCTTTTCGGTGCTTCTGCGTCCGAAGCTTTCATCCTCGGAACCTAAGCTACCCATAGGCCCCATAGTAGTTCCGTTTTGGGATTACCTTATAGAATTCTACATATGAACCCCCAGAAGGAACTAGTATGGGGCCTATGGGTAAACGTTAAATCCCTACACCTTGATGCTTCGAGAATCGTTGCCGTGGTTTGGGTGAGGCTGCGGTGCTTCCACAGGGCACGCCACGGGATGACAAAAAAGATGTAAGCCCTTCTGGAGGCAGAGAGTAAAGGCCGGAGCATGCAGGATGCGGCAGGCATGAATAAAGCAAGCATGTTGTCATGCGGCTTCTGATAATCCCATGCCACAAGGGGCCGAGCTTGATGAGACTATGAGCTCGATGTACTAAACCCTAAAGATCCATCCTTCTCCACAACTTTGACCCCTGTCCAGCTACCAAATGCCCTGGAGATGAGTGCTGTGTCTGCGGAGAAAGCCTAAAACCAAGCCAAGGCATTGGCCACGAAGATCACAATGACCAGATGCACACGAGCTTTGGTGAGGGACGCGATCTGAGCCGGCGCAGGATCATGGGACACAAATTACGGATGGTAGAATCGACGCCTACGCCATAGAAAAGCCATGCGATTCTGCAGCTCAATAACGAGCCGTTTAACTCTGCAAGATTGAAAAGAGAGAGGGGTGTGTGTGTGTGTGCATGTGTGTGTAAGCATAGGCACAAACCTGGCTTTAATCTAATCCCGTATCCTGAACCCGTTCCGCATGCAGGCAAGCTCCTAGACGAATGCAAGCCACTTCTCAAAGGCTCTCCTAACAAGACACAGTATGCAAACTCTCAACCTCACCGTACTCGACAAACCTGCGGCTCCTACCTCTACTCTCATATGCAGCTACTTTGTGTCGGCTGCCGGGGCTGTTTGACATATCAAACTAATCTATGGAGAGTATGTCGGTAGCCCCACATCCTCCAAAATAGTTTTGACTTCCCGGTTATAGAGAGCAACAGTTGTCACAAAGGAATGTGAACATTAGGTTATTGACGTTGTTGGTTCCACAGGTAGGCCGTATCAACTCAGAGATTCGGCGGGTCAATGTGGAAGACAGAAGTGTAAAATTCATGGACCACCGGCGAAGCCTCCTGCACGGACCTAAACCTAAACCTCGCATCCCGTGCTTTTTCGTGGGACTGATGCTCCCGAAACGCACCCCGACACAGGATTCCTCAACGGATGCGACGCCCCAATTTCCAGTGCTGTAAACCTACTTAACTCCGCAACATGGGCCTCAAGAGGTCTGCTTTCCAAACTGGCCAAACATAGCGTGCACTAATGTATCAAGAACCGAAACGTTCCTAATTCCCTAAACCTCAAAACCTCAACCCCACAGCCCTCAAACGCTGAACTCTCAGATCTAAATCCTCCATCTCCTCAAAGCTCTACAGACACGGTCCCAGCCCTGAAAGATCTACCGCCCCAAAGCCCATGGATCGGGCTCCCCGGCGCAGTCCAGAAGCAGACCCGGCGTGCCCGCGGCATCCTCTCCCGCTTTAGGTGGTCATACAGAAACAGAATCGGGTTGCCGTAAGTGCTCATGTTGCAAGGGTCCATGAGGCTGACTATAAGGTTCTGCAATAAAGTATAAGGGTCTTAATCAGTCTTAAGATCGGACTTGAGGGTACGTGATGATTTTAAGGTTTTGGACCATGATTCTGTTGATGGTGGTCTTGAAGCTATAAGGGTTGCTGTACGTGCGTTTAGAAACAGGTGTAGCGTAGACTGCACTGCAGCAACTTATCGCTGTTGGTCGAGGAATCAAGATATCCTGGAAGCAAAACCACCGGAATAATGTAGGGGCCTTAATAATAAGATAAGGGTTTTGGAGGCCCATTATACCACATTAAAATGAGGAAATCCCGCAAGTAGTATAGGTAACTTATTATTTACGCCCCTTAGGCTTCGCTTGCAGTTCATTCGAGCATATTGGCGTTGAACTCCTTCGATCGGCAACGAAGAACTGCCCATGAGGGCGGGGGGTTGGGTCTAAGCCAAATTTTTAAAGCTTTCACTGATCTCTCACAGCTTACGGTTTATCTAGGTTCAATTCCAGAAAGCTTGCTTAGGGCCTTGAAGCTTTCACGATCGCCATCGGCCCTTCACAGCCTCTGTGGGTTTTAACAGTTTCGGGCTGAGGTTATTGAAGCACGGTTTTGATGTGTCCAAAGATGCAGGTTTTGCACGGCTTTCTGGGCTCCGAATGCATCCAGAACCCCGGGGCCGGATGCCTCTTAAACAACATCCTGTACATGCTGGTATGGAAGCCGATAGGATGACAAACAAAACGTCAAGGCTGAAGCTGCTCATTGTTAAGTTCTAAATGCAACAGGCCCTACGTTCCTAGATCCTGATTCCCAGAGCCCTGAGCCTAATCCCAGTCCTCAAGCCCAAGTGTACATCAATTATCTAGCTCGGAACCCTATAGATCTTGAAACGAAAGCCAGCCCCTGCCTTGAATCGGGTCATATCTCCGGCCAGGCGTTTCCGCTCATGCTCCTGCGTCTCCTCCACGAACCATGAGACTCACCCTTAAACCCAAGGGTACATGCGACCATGGCCTATATGTCGGCCTTCAAGGGGTTCCTACACGGGTACCCTGGGGTCAGTGTATGTAGGGCTACTCCCGGAATCATGGAGGTGTATATGCCGTTTGTGAGACTGTTGTAATCCCTACACTTGCATGATTCAAAGCTTACGGTAGCTGGGGTTGAAGTTGCTTGAGACCTTGACCTCAAGCATACATGTACATCTGAAGCTAAAAGCATTTGGAAACAGCTGCCACACCCTCAACACACTGGCTGAGAAGTCCGAATCCAGTTCTACTTCGGCTGCCGAAGTTCGTTGCGCTAGAGCTACTAGTAGACACCCTAAGCACTGAAGCCTGATCGACGCCCTACCTCCCCCCCTCCCGCCACTCAAACCTTGAACATTTACTGGGGGGTGTCAAGCCCCTTTGACGGTGTTACTCCTCCAGCAAGGATGAAAAGATCTTGGGAGCATTGATTTTAGGAGTTGTGTTGGCTGCCCTAGTCCGACATAATAGGTCAGTTTGGACAAGGAGGTCACATGATTCCTTACGCCCGAATGCTCCAACGCTGGCACAGGCTTCAAGCATCAGGGCACTTAAGGCTTAAAGCCTCCGAAGGCACTAACCCGGAACTTATGCTGGCTTGGGCCAACTGCACAGAAACGCAAAAGCGGCTCTCCCTCGCTGCATGCGACTTCTGCAAGCACTTCCTTGGAGATCTTCAGAGAGAAGAGACAGCAGCTTCAGTTTTGAGGCTTTAAACCGCAGATCCATGGTCGATCTCCAATCTTCAAAGCCGTGGTACGGATCTTCGTTCTAGTTCTGTGACAGGGTTCATTGAGCTCCCAGTAGAGAGGCATGTGAGACCCTGGTCTACTTGTTCTGAAGGCCCCTATATATCAGCCTTTGCCCCGGCATTTTGTTCTGGGAGGCAACTCGCGGGGGAGGATGCTTGCCTTTTTTGGGTTCCGCATTTATGAGCAGATACCAGCGCTCTGTGGGTTTTGATTATCATCGGGTGCCGTGATGATTTTTTCAATAGGTCGTCTGGGCCTTGGTGTTTCAATGGGGCTTCCCCGGCTATGGAGCAATAAGGCTTTGGGGTTTAGGGCTGTAGCTGTCGGGTCATGAAGGAGTCCCTGAAATCTAGTCTTCACCTGTGCATATTCGCGACCTCTAGTTTTGTTGCGTATGTACTATTCGAGTGCTTGCACAACCCAATCCCTTTTTGCAACAGGCCTCGTTGTCCAGCAGCCCGGTCTAGCCAAACAAACCCACTCCCTAAACCGTAAACCCTGCACACAAGACTCAAAACCCTTCCCAACTCACACCCAAAATTTTCAACCCGAATTCCCAACCCTTAAGGTAGCCCGCAACCACAGCCAGGATTGCTCAGGCCACTACATATTGAATTCCTCTGTGGGCCAGTCTGGTACGGAGACCTCGGCTCTTCAAAGGCAACGACTAAAGCCTTTCGGGCTCAAGGGCTTTCACGGGCACGTTCTTTCCGGCTCGAGGGGTCTTGGCTCGGAGACAGGCTCAGAGTGCCGGGGCTCGTTTTTCAGGCTTGGGAGTCGGAAGATTTAGTATTCGGAACGGTGCAAATCCACATGCTGATATCCGCGCTCTAGAGCTTCGTGTTTGTTCGTCCTAGGTCCAAAGGCACCAGGCAACAAGCAAAAGATGAAGTCGCTTAAGAATGCTTAACATGACAATGGACTGAAGATTGAGCACGAGTTTTTTTTGTGCAAGAAGGGCGTGGAGAGTGAAATCGTTGGCCACTTGTAAAAAGACATGCGTACTTCAGAGTTCACGCGAGATTCTGCAAAGCCTTTGAGCTCCAGGTATAGTGCCGAAACTCAAACTTAATGCCGATACCTTAGGTACGGCCCCCATACAGTAAGAGTCTATAATAAGGCTACTATTAAGGTCCTACTATATCTATATTATGAATATTATTCAACTATTACTGAGTGGGGGCCGTACCTAACCGATACCCATAGGCCCCATAGTAGTTCCTTCTTGGGGTTCATGTTTAGAACTCTAAATGGTAATCCCAGAAAGGTACTGCTATGGGGCCTATGGGTAGAATTGAGAGCGCTTATGGTCTGCAAAGTGAGTAGCACTTTACATGTGGACACGCTGCACGAAGCACCGAATCACCCCGCTCCGCTTGTAAATCCACCTCCAACCCCGCAGAGGTGCGAAGCAGAACAGAGGAGCCTCAAAGTCTGTACTCTCAATCCTTAACACCCTACGCCGTAAACCGAAGATCTGAAAATCTTCAACTCCATAACCGAAAACCATAAGCGTAAAGAACACCTTTCAAACATGAAAACTAAAAGGCCACTAGAAACCCAGCAAAGCCCTATAAAGCCCTCTATAAACCTCTTCCCTAGCTGCATCTGAGCACCCCCGCAGTGCTCAAGGTCTGCTCATCGTAGCAAACGTGAGAGGTGAGATTCGATGTGGGGCAACTGTCCACGCAAATCCTGAGTCACACAAAACCCTACCTATCTACAAATCCAGCCATCTGTGTAACTATCTAATGAATTTCTTATCTGTTTGTCTATTTATCTATACCTACATAAATACATAATTGCGTACATAGCGTACTGTATGGTGCTAAAGTGTTTCGGAGTGTAGGGATACAGTAAAGTTCTCAGGGGTTTACGACGCAGAGTTCAAGGTCTCAGGTGCAGGAATCGAAGATGTTGGACAGGGATTTACTGAACTGTTCAGAATGTTAGTAGAAGACCCCAATATAAATCCCGAATGGTATCATGTTTCAACATCATAAACAAACCCCGTAACCACCTCAAGGATACAGCGTGCTAGTGCAATCTAAGGTGTCAAATCAAATCCTTGAATCTCAAACCCAAGATGTACTAAGAACCAACACAAAAGCCGACAAAGCTGACCTTCGATTTCGCCACATCCGACCATGAACCCCGAACCCGAAAGTTGCGAAATGAGGCCAGGGCGGATGAAGCGTGTCGATGCCCTCTTCGCCCACCCTGGAAGCTGGGTTTGGGTTTGCTCGGTACATGGTGATTGGAACAGGGTTGCGTCCAGGTTTAATCTATGCCTTAAACTAAATTCTGAACCTCCTAAACCCTCAACCCGTAACGAAGATACTGGACCCCATTCCGACAAACCCTACACGCAAAAGCTATAATTAGGAGCTAAGGCATTCTACTTGAGGAATACCGAGTCCAGGACACATTCAGAACTAAAGCACCAAAGCCAAGAGGCATCGTAAATGCTGCATTAGGTTGAGAGTTCTGGTGCTACAGAGGCCTGAGTAATTAGCACGGAGCTAATTGAAGAGTTCTCGTTTGAGCTCTTTAAGGGCTCCTTTGCGACCTGAGTGAAGGGGCCTTGATCATCGGAGTAGTGTTTCGAAGCATACCATGCTCCCACTGTATTATGGACCATAGGGGTATATAGTACTGATCCTTCATGCTTCTGTGCTGGCGATTCTGTGCTCGTTAGGGCTTAGGGTCAAATACTGTATGTCTTATGGAGTTTATGCCTACGTGGTTTTCTTCTAGCATACCCAACGTCCCAACTATCAGACTGGCTAACAGCTAACAGAACAGGAACTACACTGCAGAGTACGGGCAGAAGCCGAGTTACCAACACGATGGATATACAATGGCTGAATGTAAGGATAGTTTCTGACCAGGCAGCTGGATTTCCAAGCTAAGCTACAATTTTCTGGATGTTTGGGAGGTATAGCCTACAGTGATGACAGAGGACTAAAGGGGGATTGCGAACTAGTCAGTCTTCTGTATGAACATCGCTGAAGTTCGACAGCCGCGGGCAATAATGTTCCACCCCAGAAGCTTAAACCTTACCCAAAACCCACAGCACTAAACCCCAAACCCCCAAAACCCACGTCCTGAACCCACAAGCCTAAATCCACAACCATAAACCCTAAACCTCAATATCCACACCGTCCTTGAGCAGAAGTAAACGAAGCGTCCGCAGACTTCGCCGTTGTCACAGAGATCTCGGCCACACATCCTGGCCGCAAGCGCTGAGGGTGCAAACTCCAGGGTCATGCTTTAGGGCTTGAGTATTGACGGGTCATGATTTAGGATTCACAGGATTTCGAATTTTGGGTTTAAGGTGTTTTGGGTTTAATCTTTAGCTTAGGCCTTAAACAGACTTAGGGTTTCGGCGATCTGCAATCTGGGATTCAGGGTTGAGGGCTTCGGGTGTTTGGGTGTTCCACCACCTATCTCTGAGGGCATCAGGCCGAATCCTGTCAGGACTTTACAAGTTTTGAAGCTACTAATAATATATAGGGGCCTGAATAAAAAGAGTAGGGTTGTTGGGTATATTATACGTTAATTATCATGGGGAACCCGCAAACTAGCAGAGGTTATCATTAAGTCCCCTATATTAAGCCCTAAAAAGCCTCAACGACCTCAAGCAGCAACGCATCTCGAAACCGGGGAAAATGCACGAACAAACCACTTGCAAACACACTAAAATGCAGCTTGAATCTGCAGTTCGACCCCCCCAAACCCCTAACCCCGACTCTATAGCCTTTTGACACTGGGCTTGCTGGCTGCCAGAATATACGACCCTATAGCCTGAAGCCTGCACCCTAACCCTAAAACCCCTAAACCCTCGGCCACTAAACCCCCAGACCCGTAATGCCCTGAACGGTAAACTACTAAACGACCCAAACCCTATGTAATCTAAAGCCTCAACTGGCGCCTGCCCTGGTAGTCAAAGCCGCGCATGAACTTGGACATGTCACCATTCTGAATCGCCTGGAAGAGCGAGTCCAAAAACGGTGCCGAGGATTAAGGTTTCGGTTTGTGCTGGGTTTATAGGGTTTAGGGATTATTGCAAGTTTAGGCTTTGCGGCTTACTCACTCAGTTTGGAGTGCCCTTAATCGGCTTTTCGTCTGCGCTTATGACTTGTTTCACAACCGAGCTCTCACGAGTGCTAGCATCGGGGGCTGATGTATTGAAGCATTGAAGAAATGACCCGTTCGGGGTTAGGTTCCTTCTTTGTACTCGAAGGATTCTTTCATTACCAAACAGCGAAAAGCAAAGCGGGCTTCAGGATCTCACCATAGTTGCCTGTGACGGACGAAGGTCTGCATATGGCTTACCCTAGCCTAGCAAACCCTACTTTTCTGTAGGGTCGTAACCCTAGTATGGAATTCATAGGGACCCTTCAATAAAGTAGGTTTTGGAAGGTTAAGGTATGCTGTAATATGCCCATAAGCTTGGTTTCCCAAGGAAATGTAGGATGTATAGTCCGCCGGTATATGCAGGAAATGCAAGAGAACCCTAGCTTCGTAAGAGGCACAAACCCAAGATCCAAGGGGCTCCCGCCCCTAAACCCTAAACCTTGGGAAAGAAACTTTTGCACAGCTCGCCCCCCCAGGCCGGATTCCTCTCCATTGCCCGCGTGAAACAATTTAGATTTGGAGTTCGGCAAGCCACATCTCCAAAGCCTTTGCTTGCAGCCTTTTGCCTTGGGGCGCATCTCAGTTTGGTGTATCTGGGATTCGCGTTTCTTACCGTTTCTTAATCAGGCATTACTTCCCATAGGCTACTACAGTAATCCCCATAAAGTTGGAAACCGGATTCAGGCCAAGTAGTGCTGGGATTCCCTATACATTACTCTTAAGGATTGAGGCTATTGGGTTTCCAACTTTTTGGCTTCTACTGTATGTAGTTCCTTTTCGGGACTACCTCAATAGGATTCTATGTCTGAACCCCAAAAAGAAATACTATGGAGCCTCAACTGTCTGGTGCTTAATAGGGAATGGGGGAATGGACCCCTATATTAGTCCCAATATGATCCCCGACAACTCTGTTCTTCAACAACCGGGCCCCATTGAACTTTCCAAGATAGAGCTAATATATAAGGCCAAAAAGTTTAAAGTTCCCCTGTTCACTATCTAAGACAATAGTCCCCATAAACCCTTCCCCCATTCTCTACCAAGAGAACCAGACAGTCTAAGTAGCAACAAGACGCTGGATCTGAACAGCCGGCCTGCAAAGACGGCACGTAGAGCACAGCTAGCGCCTGCAACGAGGTTCGCAAGTCTGGCAGTTTCGGGTGCATAGTTTTCAGGGTTTAGGGCTTTAAGGGTTTAAGGTTTAGGAGTGTAGGGTTTGGGGGTTTAGGGTTTAGGGCTTTAGGGGTTTAAGGTTTAGGGGTTCAGGGTTTGGGGGCTTGCGGGGTTTAAGGTTTAGGGGTTCAGGGTTTGGGGGTTTCGGGTTTGGGGGTTTAGGGTTCAGGGCTTTAGGGGTTTAAGGTTTAGGGGTTTAGGGGTTTAGGGTTTGGGTTTAGGGTTATTGTCCATGTTGTTTAGGGTTTAGGGTTAAGTGCTCTATTAAGACAGGACGCAAAGAAACGGTAGGAAAGCGCTGCAACAACACAAAACCCTAAGCCTTTTCAGATCCAGCTCTCTGAAGTGCGACATAGTGCTACCTGCCCCTAAACTTACGAGGGTATTCTGAGTGTTATGAGCCGCAAAACAGTTTAGGCTTAGGGTCCTCTGACCCCCTCGCCCTAAACTTGGGCGCCCTTAGAGCAACAAAACACAAATGTCGTTTACTGAACCCTTAAGCTGAAAAATAAACGACAATTTGAAAGAGCAGTAAAATCAATCCTTAACCAATTAACAAAAATGTCGTTTGATGGTCCCTTAAGCTGAAAAATAACAGACAATTCCTAAGAGCAATAAAGTCAATCCTCAACCAATTAACGAAAATGTCGTTTGATGGTCCCTTCAGCTGACAAATCAAAGACAATTCCTAAGAGCAGTAAAGCCAATCCTTGACCAATTAAACTGATATCTTAGGTAGTATCATTAGGGAGACCCCTTAAAGGGTACCCCTTCTGAACCCTACTTCTGGCTCTCTTAAGAGGGGCCTGATTGAAAGGGTCTATATTCCCAAGGGTCCCCCTAATCCCAACTCCCATATCTCATAGGGATCCTTAGGGGTGTAGGGGACTATATTTCCTTAAATAGGCCTTATTAGTCCCTATTATGGGCCTTAAGACCCCCTACCCCCCCTCCCCCTACACCCCTAAGGATCCCTATCAATATCTGCACCGGCCAAGAACTACATCTGTGAGTGCCGACCTGGGCCTTAAGTCCCGAACACTCCAAAGCAAGGGTAAAAGGAGGGACCCTTAATAAGGACCCCTGGGTATATACCCTTAATATAGCGGTTTTATACCCATTATATAGCCTATTATAGGCTAGGGAGGCAGAATCTGCCGTACTACCCTATGAAGCCTAAACTCCAGGTTGTGTGATGTGAAGGCGAAAGCTGTCAGAAGAGCTTTTGTTGAATGCCGATCAGCAAGGACCAAGCCGACAAACTTATAGGTTGGAACTGACGAGCTCAGCTCACTTCAGGGTAGGGATTTACGACGTGAGTTTAAAGTGTTGGTTAAAGATGAAATTATGTTGAGACTGCCGGGGTCATATGCAAAGGGCGACCAACAAGGAATCCACCAAACTCCTCACGCAATCAACAAGAATTATTCCGATACCGACCCAGACTTGCAAGTCTGATGCCCTGGTCCGACTTGTAACCAACTCTGTCTCTACCTGCTACCACTCGGGAAGCAGAGGAAAACGAACAACTGCTCTGGCTTCAGACAAGTGGCAGGGTGTCGCTAAGGCCTCTACACTCTTCCCGTTATCTTTACGATCCAGGTTCGGACAGCAGCGAGTCTGTGGCCGCGGCTGCAATCAGCACGAAAATCCACCAAACATCGGTGCCTGATACGAGCTTCCCACAGGCTCGAGTTATGTACATGCGGATTTATCAAGGTTCTTTGATTTCATCGGTTTGGTGACTTGTGGGGGAAGCGACTACTTGGGGCCTTTGTTCTTGTCCCTCTTGGTTATCAAGCCCAGAACCTGGCACTCACTAGTCTCAGTAGCAGAAAACCCATAACCCCTAGGGCGAAAAGAAACCACTCGCAATACACCTCCATCAAGAGATTCGCGTGGATGAGAGCTCAATCTGCACGTGCTGAGCATCAACACTCAACGGCTCCCCACCGAAGAAACGTTCAGCACAAATTGAGTACGGCCCCCACTCAGTAATAGTTGAATAACATTTTATAATATAGATATAGTAGGACCTTAATAGTAGCCGTATTATAGACTCTTACTGTATGGGGGCCGTACCTAAAGTTTAAACATTCAGAACAGTACAACAACAATCGGCATAAGAACCTCGAAAGCTCAACGGCTTCGTCTTGGAAAAACAGGCTTGACACAAACACTTGAGGCGCAGGCAGTGATGATCCAAATGGCCAGGTAGAGGTGCGACGCTTCGTCCTGACACTCCCTCTAAACCCATGAGCCCTTTTGGAGTCATGGGCCGGGGCCAGACGTCGGAAGAAGCATCGGATTGATGCAAATGAGCCCTAAACCTTTTAAACCCTAACTAGATTGTGTTTCTTTCTTTGGGCTCTCGCCAGAGCTCTCCTACCTAAACTGCTCGCACGTTCGAAGGTTACTTCGCACCTAGCCATGAAACGCGTGAACCCACAGGAACTGCAGTTGGAGAGCTCTTTCGGCTCCGAAAGATCCAGACAAAAACCTTGAATCCCCAAAGCCCGACATGCAGAAATCCAGAAATAGTATACCTTTGATGTGGGTATGTCGATCTGAGATTCCCATATGGGGCTCCGCCGCATTGCCCTGACATCCTGAATTTTCACTATCTCCCTGAACATCTAAGACACGCCCTGCCAGAAACATGATGTGCCGAAGCGGACTACCATCAGGCCCTTTTGAAATTGAAGGGCCCTGTCTCCAAATTCTAAACTGCCGTGCTGCCAATCTCAGCCACTCTTTGTCTTCCCACTCCCTACAAGTCTCATTCCTCCGCAGACCTTAAACTTCGCCAAACGGTCACAAACCATCTCGTACACTTCTTGTCTGACCAGCATATTAAGGTGGTTGTTAAAAACTCATGGTGACTTTTTGGCTCCTTATTATAGTACGGCACCTAATATTTAGGGTACCCGAAAAGGGACCTTGATTCTTACAACTACCCATATGGCCATAACCCGAACACTGAATCCCAAAAGGCTTGACTTGCTCGCTGGAGCCTGCAGGCTCGTGGCCGCTTTCGTCGGAACCATCGGCAGCCTCGCACGACCAGAAAAATCGACTTCTGAGTTATCCTTTAAGCCCTTTGAAATTTATTTACTATTATGGTTCTCTACAAAATAGTACGGGAAAATAGAAAAGATACCAAAGGACAACCCAGACTTTGCAAGTACTATGCAGTCGATATCTAGTCTGCCTGTGGGTACTACCTGGTCTTCTTTGCGTGCCCTCTCCTCAAATGTCATGGCTCAAAGACTTTTTCAACTCAGATATAGATGACCACTTGCTCTTTGCGGGTTTAGGGTTTAGGGTTGAAACCTGAACACCTGAATCTTGGCAGACTCTTCGCGATCAGCCCGAATGACTCCCAATAAACAGGCCTGGAACTAGTAGTCAAGATGCCTCCTTGCGATCCCTGTATAACTTTAAAGACAATATGCCATGACCCATCAAGAAGGAACTGTTCGAGGTCAAGTCTTACGGCCCCGATCTCATCCCGAACGCGGCTCTTCGAAGCCAAGCTGGAAGACCTGACCTCAAGGACCTAAAGGGCATGTAGCATAAATCCTCAACCTTCAGTAGAGCCACGGTTTAGGGTTTAGGGCGCAAACTGAGGCAAACAGACAGCGACATGAAACATGGGGAAGAAACACTAGCAGCAGAGCTGGTGAAGATGTGATGGTCACTCTGATACCACAGCGCAATGCGTGGCGACGATCGCAACAGTGTTTGGGCCCTTACCGGCCCATGGACCCAAATCAAATCCGATACCGAAACCCCAAACCCCACTAAACCCAAAGCCGAAACCTCGAACCTTGAACCCAAAGCCTAAACCCTCTAAACCCATAGCTTAAACCCTCTAAACACAAAGCCTAAACCCTCTAAACCCATAGCCTAAACCCTCTAAACACAAAGCCTAAACTCTCTAAACACAAAGCCTAAACCCTCTAAACACAAAGCCTAAACCCTACGAGCATCCGGGTCATGAGCGAAAGAGCTGGCACTGAGGCTCGGTCCGTTTCGAGGTCTGACTCGACCATCAGGGGCGCCTGCCGATCTCGTTTTCATTAGAGTTTAGTGGTTCGGTCTGGGGTTACAGGCTTAGAGTTTATAGGGGCTTAGTACTAGGATGTACTAGGATTCAGGGGTTCAGGGCTTAGGTTTAGGGCTTACAGGTTTAGAGTTTAAGGGCTTAGTACTAGGGTTTAAGGGTTTAGACGTTCAGGGCTAATGTTTCCGATTTACTTAGGGTGTTTAAGGGCTTTGTACGTGGTGTGAGTTTAGGGCCAGCTCGAGGTCGTTGCTTACAACCAGCGGCACTAAGATTACCTGTAGCCCGAAAACCTTGCAGAATAGTAGTTTTTTTCTCCCGATGTCTGTAATGCTTTGACACAGCTCAGCATGGGCTATTGTACCAGCAAGTGGGTGGTTGTCAAAATTATGGTCCTTTCTGGGCACCTAAATAGTAGGTGCCGTGCTATATTAGGGACCCAAAAGGGGGCCATGATCTTGACAACCGCCCAAGTAGGAATTCGGCTGTGCTTCTGCTTCTCCCTCTAGTGCAAGGGCCAACATAGCGGCGTCCTGGCTCATGGGTATAGGAGAAAAGTTCTACAGCTCTACCTTACCTTGGGTTAGTAGGGAATGGAAGAATGGGGTACAATTACAACAACAACAACAATTATTTATTGGACGCTGAGCGAGCGGGCTCTGCTCATTGCGGGCGTGTGAGACTGCCTTTGCACCTGAACAAAGGTCTGAGAGCAGAAATGCTAAGGGCCTGGGCCTGAAAGCGCTGAAACAGGCTACCGTGAAGAGAGCTACCCTACAAGCTACCTCAAAAGCCGGTTCATGCGTCTCAGGCGTGGGTGAGAAACCCTCCGTCACCCTCAGTGTGGACTATGGCGTCCCATGTCCACGGACCGATGATTGATGAGCCGTACCCCCTCGGGACCGTCACTCAGAGTGCCTGTTGCGTGGCGTCCCACTCATGGTCACTCTCAATCAAAGGCGATGGGCCGTAAGGTCGCAAAGGTGATGAGCATGTGGAACGGCTGCTAGTGCTGTTATCTGAGGCCGCTCCGCTTTTGTGGGCAAGCAGATTGCATCGGTGAACGATGTGGCACACCCTGGCGGTAAGCACACGGTGCCTAATAAGGCTAACCTTATTCGTAAGAGGCGTACTCCCCTCCAGAGGCCAGGCTTGCCGGCAATGGCTTGGGGGCCTCGGACAACCCCCCATTCTCGAGCCGAGAATGGGGGGTTGCAAACCTTGATTTTTAGGCCTCGGACAAACCCCCCTTCTCGAGCCGAGAATGGGGGTTTGTAAAGCCGATTTCAGCCATTGGTCAGCTGTGTTGCTGACAGGCGTTGCCTTTCTGGGAAAGCAGCGAGCGTTGCCCGACTAGCATGACAGGTATAGGCCGCTATTGCACACAAACGCTGAGTAGTGGAGCTACGTCAGCTGTACGACTTGAGCAGCAAAACTGAACAACAGCGTTCCTGCTCCCTGCCGTGTAGGCAGGTCGGTCCCACAGAGCCAGTAGGTCGCCCCCTTCCTGCAAGGGGAAGTAGGGGCCCCTGGCCTCAGGGGAGCCCTCAGCTTAATCATCTGAAACTTGGACTGGCATAGGGCCAGCCTCCGCTGTGTGCGGTATTGAACCAAGTCGTACGAACAGCACATAGCAGCCGTGGCGTGCCTGCCTGAGATCTGAATCTGAGGCCTGAACCGACGGACGACCATCGTCCGTGCTGAGCCAAGGTTGATCGGGGTTGCTCCTCCAGAGGGAGCGATAATGTCCACTGTGCGGGGTGTCACCTATGTGGAAGATACAGGACTGAACCCATCCTTTCTCTAGTTGTACGGAGCCCGTCGGGGCCCACTGCGAGAGCTGAAGGGGGTGGTGCAGACCAGTGACAGCATAGCTGAGCTTGCGGCCTTCAACAAATCGCGCCACTGTGAGAACCACCAGTCGTTGCTGCCCTCGAAAGGCGGTGTGCACCGGCTGGCCAGACCACCGAGAGAGCAGCTCCTGAAGTGCATGGGATCCACCTGTCGTTGGAGCCGGCAGCAAAGCGAGCGGACCTCCCGCATCGGTGACCTCAGTAGTGTTTACATCCCTGACTTCCCAGGGTCGTGCAATCGGAAAGGCGGTAATGCCTGCAAATAAGGCCACTAGAAACTCCGAAGCATCTTGTTGTTGGCCATCATAGCGCCAAGCGGGAGTAAGATGGCGAAGCGTGAAAGAGGCAGTCAGGGTGAAAGGAGAACCAGAGACAGAATCAGCCACTTCCTGATGGAGGG